TATATATATATATATATATATATATATATATATATATATATATATATATGTACATGCGACCAAACTAGAGGATGAGTCGTGTGTTAGACCAAAATCACTCCTAACTGGCTTGATAGTAGAGTTTCTCAATCAAAACGTCATCGTCTTGCATGGACAATTTTCTTTTCCTCTCATATAACAATTTTCTTTTGCTTCCATCACGCGTGTTTGAGTGCTTGGATAAATTTTTGTTTTTCGCTCAGTTCAAGCTTTATGAGACAGAAGCTGGTCACCTTTTTGAACGGTAAAGTTTGATACCTTACCGCTGTCAAGGGATGTGGTGAAATGTTTTAAATGTTAACCAAGCTTCCCATCACCATATGAGCAGCAATTGAACGCGACTGCCCACCATGTATGAACCAGCATGGATTGTGTTCTTAAATGACTTGAAATAACTACCGTGTCGTTCGATCTCAGTAACAAGCACAACAGAAGCATTTAAACCCGAAGACAATCATAGATGCGATTAACATCGGCAGCCGATTACATCGGACGTCTGGTGAGATAGAGATCAAACGCCACAGCTTGGGGGTAGTAAAAGTGGATTTGTCTGCAGCAGATGACACTACTAACGCTGTCAACTGTGGAGTCTCCTTGTAATGGAAGTTTCATAAACAGAACGTTATCCATTCGAGGTTTTTCTAACTGTTTGTTGTAATCAGTCCATCTACGGTCAATTATTTCTTAGGATAACCATTTTCTAGAAAGGTTTTAAGGCATCTTCCTAACAGATACACCTTACTCTCTATGGACAGAGTGTCCGAGGTTTCTGAAAGAGCGGGACGAAGCTATGGAACCTTGTGTGTTACCTGCTTCACGTTCAGTATTCGGTATTTTTTCCATGAATGATACCCTTAAACCGCCTAATCAGATGAACAGCTACAAACGGAAGACAATTCTCATCCTCTAGTTCAGTTGTGAACTTGATTGTCGAATTTGCTGAGTTAAATTTTGACTCAACATGATCGAGAATTGTTTTGTCTTGTTAGTCACATAATACAGCATCTGGATACCGGTGATATTGTTTGAAACGATCAACAACATAGCCGTTCGGATTTCGACAAGGCCTGGTCCAAGGGGTGGGGGGAAGCCATAGCAACACCATCAATCGGGCGGAAGAATGAACCGTTTCCCTTGTTCATCAACTCAACCGTTTAACGCACTATCGCACTCATCTGCCAGTCAAATTTACCGATAGTTGTCTTGAACGGAAACACATATTAGACTTTTTTTAGTGTCATTGGGAATCAGCTTTCGCCATTCGATGTAATGAAAACCGACATTGTAACCCGTAATAGCACCATGTGTTTTCCAGCAGTCAAAACTGAAAAGTAACAGAAAGCAAATTGAAAACAGCTGAAGTTATAGTCAATGATGAAAAATGAAGTCTAATTTGTGAACCAAAAGAGTTCAATTCTTCCGATTTGGTAAAAGCTGGTTAATCTGGTATCCAACTATCCAGACTGATGCCAGTAATTACCGGGACGATTGGTTCACTGAACCACGGACGTCATCTGTCAAACAAACTGGAAATAACACATTCAGTCCCTGTAAATGCCAAATATTATCTGATATTCAACAGTTGTCGTAAACTCAAAACTGTCAGAGCCAAAAACAAGGAGTGCAGAAAAGAGCAAGCAAGAACACTTTTTTCATTGCGTGCAAGTTCCAAATTTATTTTGATGTGCGGTTAAGTAATAAATAAACTCGAAAAAAATAATATAATTCAGATGATAATGTTGTCTAAAATGGATATTATGCTATATTGTTCCGTCGATCCGGTGCACAAATAAATCTTACAATTGCAAAATAATTTATTAGCCATTATATAATAGAATAAACAGATAGTTATATATCATAAAAATAAAACAAGGTTTTACTCCCTTTTTTGTTTAATGGGTATATCTGTGTGCAACAGTCATTCAGGCTATACAAAAGCTGTCTGGGTCTAGGATACGTTCGGTGGGTTTCACTGAAACAAAGACAATTTTGATGAATCTTTTAAATGAATTATTAGTATGGTCGTTTGCTTATATACTGTGCCAGCAGAAAAGGAACTTTACCACAGCAAGCCGTCTGTCAGAAGTGGTAGAACTTCTGCCTTGTGAATATTATCTCTCTTGGTGATAGCAATAAGCCGTTTAGATGGGTCTCAACTTTTACCAGTTTTAATGAGAAGTGTGAATGTATGTTCACTGTCCATTGACCTAGCATCAATAAAATGAAAAGAAACAGTTGGTGATGTACTGATTGTGGTTACCTCAGTGCGCATAGCACTGTGAGGTTGTCGATGCTGACTGGACATAACGATTATCTTATCCTCTAAATTTCTCAGTATCTGAATTCCCGATCACAATTATTTGGCATGGTGACTATTTAGTGCTCGGTGAACGTTAGTGGGACCTTACAGATAGAAATCATTTTGGAGGAAAAGGAGGAAGAAGTACTCCGGACTTACAGTGTTGAAAACCTTATACTCCTGTTATTTTCTCTTTTCATCTTCTTCCTATTCGCTAACTCGTCTTACTGTTGAAGTTGCACAAAATAATTCAAATTCCTAAAATGATTATAATTTATCTGGTGTGCGGAAAAAACTATCTGCTAATCAATTATTCAGCTGAATAACCAAACGATGAATTCAGTTGAATGAAGTAGAACACACGATTTTCTCGTTCAGTTACCTGCAAGACAATGAATTGTGTTGCAATTAAACGACGGATGCGTGAAAATACACTCAACTTATCATTCACTTTGTTTACGGACTCTCAAATTATACATGGTTACATTTAGCCCTTTTCAATCCTGTTTTTTGTTGTTTTCCGGTTGAGCTTCCTTCTATGTTTCGTCGCTTGGAGTCTAGGAATTTAAGTTGTATTTTATATGGTGTATAACTTGCATGCGCGCCTCTCGAAGATTTGTCAAGAAAAAACATGAACAACAGGTGATATATTGAGAACTTTGACTAATGTTCCGCTTGGCGGGGAGCATGCCCCTGGGGAAACATTGTGAAACTTAGGAGAGCAGCCTTTGTTTACTATCGAAAACTTAAACATTTCAAAATAAATCTGTATTTTCGCCATTTTGTTTTCTTTTACCGAATCTGAAAAAATGTACTAAATATTTCAGTAATTGAAATGAAGTAATAGAACTGTTTCAAGTCTGTCTTTGCACATTTCCTCCTTTTGTAAGAAACACCCATATAACGCTCAAATTTGAATGATTTTCCTTTCACCACTGGGAGACCTAACCCTGACCAATTGTTGTATATTTGCGTGTGTTCGCGTGCAACCACTCACTTGTTTTTTGCAACACACATCTAGAGCGAAACAAACAATTTTTGAGTCATTCTTCCTAGTCCTTCTTGTCACATTCCTTCGGCTTTTTGGTCGCGGTTTTACTCAAAAGTCTGATTCACTTCTACTAATCTTTCCAAAAGCTATGCTCTTTTCACAGTACGATCGTGAATTATTGTGTGCAAAGCCGGAGCAGCAAGATACGAGTGTTTGCAACACCAAAATTTTCCGTTCGTACTTTCCTGTCGGTCACATCTGTGGACGTCCATAAGCAGTGGAAAACCAATCCAAACGTGAGCCCCCCGAAATAAGGCACTGTCTCTCCTCATTTAGGCCGATTTCTAGATCCACGGACTCTGCTACCAGACAATTGTCATTTTATAGTCACGCAATAGTCTTCAACGAGGTTTCTCTCTTTCGATCGTTTATGTGTGTGTTTGGAGTAGAATCGATATTTAGCGCGGGTTTTTTGACAGCCCAACGGACGACCCTGGGTTGATGCGTTCACTAGGTCTCTTGTTTAGTTACGACCTTTTTATCTGACTGTGATTACCCGGATTTCTTATCTCTAATCAAACAACCACTTATGTGAAGGGGGAATACGATGTGATCAGATTTTCTGTTTCCACGTAATGCTTGGTGTACGACAGATCCAAACGTTCTTATATCTCATCAATATTGTTTGGGATACGTGTGCAAGGTTCTCATTCAATATAATACTAATATTTTCAATGAAATTTGTTCCATTCTTACAATTTTGCATTAATCTTAGTTTCACTTTATGCAGCTGTGAAACGTTTTCTATTTGCGTTTCAATATATTCGGTATATACTAACTCTTAAGGGGTATTTTCTGCCCGTCTATTCCCAAATGCGTTATTCGGCAGAATACTATTAGCTCCGTAGAACTTCCTTGCCTTAGGATTCTCACATACATTTATCTCATGTTAATTCGTAATTTGATGTATATAATGGTGAATACGCTATTGAGTTTGTTATGTACAGAACAAAAGTAATGCTGCACTGAACATTTACTATACTTATATTACAATCTCTTTGGAGGACATCCCCAGTGACAATGAATTTGCCTCACCAAGATGCATCCATTACATTTCAAAGCACTAACTCAGCTCACTGCTCCGTTGAACGGATGGATGGTAGCTGACCCTATTTGATGTATTCAATGCGCACAAAACTTCCTCCATCTATACTGAGAGAAAGTCGTTTCAACGAAGAAGGGCGAGTACCGAGTTTCGCTCAGTCGTATACGGTCACACGCATCCATCAGCCCAGAAACAGTTTATGAGAATACTGGGTCTGCTCTTGACGTATAATTCCAATCAAGTGGCATAGTGATTTTCTAATGAACCACACTCAAGCCCATAAATCCCACCTGTTTCATCTATAAGCAAAGACTCGTTATTTTACTCACATTGATCATTTTCGCTTACACCTTGTTCTCTGTTGAGGTTTGTGCATATAACCAGTTGCCAAAGTATGCACGGCCAGCTTATTCTTCTATTGTGCTCAAAAATAACTGTATACAGTTACCATTCTGCTGGGAGTGGGAGACGTTTTTCGAAAAATCTTTTTCGTCCTTGTGATTCCTCGATATTATAATAATACTTGTTACGTTTCCTTATTAGTATGTTAGCGCGCCTCTAATTTCGAACGGCTAAAGAACTGGTGGTTTGTCACAAAATTTTCTAGCGATTGCGTTGAAAATACTCAAACGATGCTACCCATGGTTACTGTATATGACGACAGTGAGGCTAAATGTATACATGCTTCATGCTTCGAAATTCCAACCACTTGAATAATCAGTTTTCTATTCCGACAACGTACCATACTCGTTTCAATTGGTTTCTGGCTTTACCTAGGTGCATTGTCCTCTTATCTGATATCGCGCAGCCATTTTAAACTCGGTCCTTCCCGGTTAATCGTTTTCCATTACGCCACAGCATCTGTGCTATCATCTTCTTTTTCTGACTCTTGGTAATAATTATCCCCTTCTCACTCACTCCTCTCCAAATGACTTTGGTAATTATTTGCCAACCAGACGGTTTCTCACTTAAAAAACGCAATTATGTAAATTTGACATTCTTTGGTATGCGTAGATAGCTATTTGAGTGCCTTGAAACTGATGGTCAATATCGATTCTGCTCATAGGCTGTTATACTTGGACACGTTAAATTTGTCCATCATTTTATTCGCTTTCTTGCCGCTCAGGGTATTTCTCTTTCTCCCTCTCACGCGATCCATCTCTACTACTATATTTTCATATTCTATCTATTTTCTCTCTCTACCTCCACTTCTGCTTTAACCTGTATTCACGGTGTTGTCCCTCCTAACCACATCTGGGTAATCGCAGGTCGTTCTGGATCCAATGCCACACACGATAAATTTGTCTTGTCCTACATTACGGTCACTCCGGTACAACTGAGTTTTGCCCGACCTGTGGTAGTCCTGGGTCACATGAAGGACCGCATTGCCGACGAGTTATTGTGCGAATTCCCCGACCGCTTTGGCACTGCCGTTCCCTGTGAGTGTCTTTGCAAGATGAATCTCTTATCCAACTTGTTTTGCCTTCAATCCGCTCCCCAGTGTTCATTGGTTTAGTATGCTCTATGATGGTTTTGTAGGTTGTGTTTGGTCCATATTGGTTCCACAAGAAGTGTTAATTAAAATTTTAGCATACAGAATCTGCGAATTCGTGATGGTGTAACGGGCGATGATACGAGTATGAAGGAATTCGGAAGATATTTATGACAAGCACCATACTAGCTAGATGATTTCTTGACGGGTGTTCGATGGCTGTATGATTCTGTTTCCATGGGCTGCGGTGTGCGAACATTACTGGTTCAAATCCTCGGTTGTTGGAATTTTTGATCCTGATCCTCGTTCCACCCCTGTGGTCCATCATATCATATATCGCATTGCAACTGTACATTGGGGCTCTCATTACAGTATAGCTGCACAACGGTGTCTAACAGTAGGTGATAGTTACTACTCGCATACAAGCCGGGTAAATGTGACCACATTTCGTGCGTGAGTGTGTGTGTATGAGCACTTGTCCAGAGCAGTAAAGTATTAGGCGTCTTCATGTGCGTGTGGAGCGTAATACTCAATTGGCATTTCTTCATCGGTTTAAAAGGCAGTGATATTCCCCGGATCGAAACGGTCATTGATCATTTTGTATTGGCGCCCAGCACAATTTGCGGATATCCATACCACTTAACCGGGTGTAGAAATTGTCAATATAATGCAGTCGACTGAAACACTATTGATAATCAAAGTTTTCCTCTATTGATTCGTTTTACAGATCTTTGTGAGCAGGTATGCCAACTTTTCACCCCTCCCCCAAAAACTCAGCACTATTGTAAGGAAATTCATAAAACAAATAAACCCAAAGGCAAAAAGGACAAAATTCTACCTCGAAATATTTTTCGGAGCTCAGTAGCTACTCAGCCCTTGCCAGTTGGGTGATAGCCAACAGTGACCTGAAAATGGGTCGTGGTTGAAGAATGGGAATGATAGACTAAAACGTGTAGTGTGAAGGGGATGTGTGTGACCAGTGTAAATCTCTGCTGAATCCATATGCTGATCACACAGTTGAGCGACGCTAGAAGTCGTGGAGGGATGTGTGTGAAATGCATCTGATGACGAGTAAGCCGAGACGGGGAGAAATCACATCGTTTTAGGGCAGGAAAGATGGTAAAAGAACAATGAAGAATGATGGAGGGAAAGACATTGCTATACCAAGCGAGAAACAGCACACTGCTGGTAGTGAATTGCCTGAATTTATGGAACTGAAAGCACGTTGGTCTCATTCTATCAAATGTACTCAAAATATAAGAAAAAATATCTTACTCACTTAAAGCACAGCACTTGAATTTGTCCACTCTACACACGGGAAACCTATCGATACGCCAAGATTCAATGTGGTGAGATGAACCAGAAGTTTGAAAACACTGGAAACAGTTTCATGAGGTGATTCTAAGTTGATGGAAACATCTTTGAGCAGCAGTCGGATTATCAAATATTGACACAGGCTGATTTGAAAATGGAGTAACATGGAACATCCCCGCATTCTGTATTTTTAACAAATAGTGTAGCAGAAAAATCATGCATATCAGTGGGAGAATAGTAATAGGACCGGAGGAAACAGTAAAAGTTTCAAATTATATGTGAATAAGTGATATAAAATCTGGCTCAACTTAATATATTGTATTCTGGAGAAGTGCACACTTGATCATTATCATAGTGATACGATTCAGTGTGTCGCAGTAAGCCACTGTGTCTGTGCATCTGTTGTTCATAGAAAATTTCAGAAATCACTGTTGTCCGAAGTTCAAAGCCATAATAAAACAGAATATAGGTTTTGAAACGGCAAAAGTGAATTCATTTAGGATGAAATATTCATTGAGTGGGGTCAGTGTCGTTTACCAGATGTCACCACACCATTCTACTGAGAGTCGAATGGTTTCAACTTTTCACTCGGTTGCCGTGCAGATTCACCAAAATGGTGATGATCGTGCATGTGGGAGCAGACATAATCCACAAATGTGAAAGTGAGTGGGTGGAGTTGCAATACGTGAATTCGAGGTGTATCAATTTGTTGGAAAGCAAAACCGTTTTCAGAGAAAAATAATTCGTTTTCATGTACATACGAAACCTGTGAGTGACATTGAGTTACTGACCTATTTGCATTTATAAGAAAGCTGCAGGTCTATTCGGAATTATTACAGGATGTGCATCAGTGATTTTCTGTGGATCAGCAAACTTCGCCAATAAAATGAAGTACATGGGTTTGGAGCCAATATAATTTCTTGTCTTTCTTCGTCTGCATGTGTATGGGTAATTTGGATAATATATAAACGAATGCATGAGAGTTCAAATCAATTTGCCGATGTCATTCGTACTGTCACGTCAATCAAATTTGCACACTCCTCTCCGATAGATAGGCGCTTGCACATTGTCAGGTTAAATGACAACCTCTTGAATAACTGTCATCTGTGCGCATTGCCCACAAGTTATCTAATCTATGAACAGTGTCATATCACGCTAGGTTAACTTCATTGGCTGAATGAGACATTTCATGTTAGTTGGTCAGTGGTAGCTAGCGGATTGCTATCATTTTAAAAGTTGTCCTCAAGACATGAAACTTAGGTGATATCTAATCCCGTACGATCTTAAGACGTTCGTCGTTTGGGCTACGAAGGCGAATACCAAAACAAAGTACGTACGTAAGGTATCTGACGTGTTATTTTCGTCACAAGGCCTTATCTTCATGCAAAGGTCATGATCTGATCGGTCTGACTGTGTCGACAGACTTCGCCCATCTGTTCAATAGTTAATGATTTGTTTAAATTGTTTTTTGGCAGATTTGAAGCTTTATGTCGACTGTGAAACGTTTGGTGGCCTCGGTAGGATTTGAACCCATTCATGGACGTCGCCCAGGCTTTTGTACAACGTACGCTCTACCAGCCGAGCCACGAGGCCACACCGATAGCACTGATCTTTTCACATTCGAACTATCCATCCAACTTACAGAGGGATATGGCATCCACTAGTTAGGATGTAAGCTGACTGCCCCCACAGGTTTTCCTCAGAATCCACCGGAGTCCACCGAATGAGCTTCTAAGGCAGGGTTAATTGTTCAAATTATTCTTTGGCAGATTTGGAGAATGTGCGCTGTACAAAGGCGTAGGCGGCATTCAGGCGTGGGTTCGAATCCCACCGAGGCTACCTAACTTTTCACAATCGACATAAAAACTTCAAATCTGCCAAACAACAATCGAAACAATTGACCTTGCCTTAGATGCTTATTCGGTGGTCTCCGGTGAATCCTAAGGAAAACCTGTCAAGACAGTCAGCTTACGTGCTAACTGGTGTTTGTGAAATGCCTCTGTAAGTTAGATGGATAATTCGAATGTGAAAAGAACTGGGAAAGTTATTTCGTGGTGTGATTGAAACCAATGAACATCACACAAAAATGATTTATATATGTCAAATATCACTGCCAAAAATTACCTCACTAAACCTGATTAACTTAACTGTTTCATATGTTTATTGGCTTAAGCATTTTCTTTGGCATCCCAAATTTTCTAACTTGGGGATACTTAGGGATACTCAAGGTTCAGGAACAATCTCATAGTCATCAAGTGATCTTAATTCATTGATTTGCTCATACCCTATGGTTAACTGTATTAAGGCATAAATGTCAAAGATTTTTGCTTCGCGTGATTCCGGAATTCCAGTAATTATTTGTTTGTATTTCCGAACAAAACATACGGTTATGTTGTTATATGATAAACCTCATCGCAGTCTCACCCACTAAATCAGAATTGACGGTTAGAGAGCTTCATTGTTTATATTTTCAAAGGTCCTGTGTTGATAAGTGCCGCTTCGCTAACTGTGTTTCAGACACCACGCGTGCGTGCCGATCAAACGAGGTCGAGGGTCGTGATTATCACTTTGTCGTGAGTCGAGAAATTATGGTTGCCGATATTGCCGCACAACGCTACCTGGAAGCGGGTGAATACAATGGCAATTTGTATGGAACTCATTTGGAATCCGTGTTTGAAGTGGCCGAGTTGGGATTGCACTGCCTGTTGGATGTGGGTGGACCTGCGCTGCGCCGACTGGAGGCTGCTGGTTTGCCTCCGATTGCAATTCTAGTACTCCCTGAAACTTTCTCGTCCCAACCCACTCCGACATCAAGCAAATCCACCGAAACATGTGCCTCATCTGCCAAGTCTGCAGAGGCTAAATCAACTGAAATGAACGCTACACATAATGCGCAAATCAAATTAGCCCGTCTAATCAGACATTTCTCCAATTATCTCACCGGTATGTTTCTCGAGAATATACCACGAATGAACTACTGCCGTTGAGCTGAGCAACTGATACTGTTTTCATACTTTATTTCTACATCCCTTTTAAGAAGAAAACATAATCGCTATCCAACAATATGCTGATTTTGTAACTCAAGCAGTTTTGGCCTGTTCTGGGTAGAGCAGATAAGAAACAAGTGAATACAGAAAGTCAGTGCCTGCTTCATTCACAAGTGAGATGTATTTTACCCCTGGTGTTAGTTTTATTGCTATTTTAGCTGTATTTCTTCACAGTCCTCTGCGATAAAAGCAATGCTTTAGTGTGTTTTACATTGAGCAACTGTGAATTATCTGAACCAACCATCCGATTTTCATTGGAATATGTCTCAAGGGAGTTATTCAGATAGGGGATGTATTCCATCTGTGAAGATTAAACTCAATAAGCTCGGTGACCATCACGGGGTGATGCCACGGAAAGGTTTTATTTATCTATCAGTTTCTCTCCGTGTTTCAAAGATAAATTCGGTCAAAATATGCACATGATTGACATTAATTTGGTGATTTGTTTTCATCTGGTCACGTCACATGTAGATGGACGGTTGGGAATTCTTTGGTTTTCTCTGAACTCAATTAAGTGAATGTGGGAAGAGGATGACTGAGGGAACATGAGGAACGCTATTGGTGCGTTCGTTACCAATGTGCTGTAATCAGCTAACAACTCATTCTCATGAAGAACCCCCGTGAACCAGATAATCAAGGGAAGATTTAGGGGTTATTTTAATGGACATAGAGGCAAAATCAAGCATATTACTGTCTGCCGGTATGTCCGGTTCGTCCGATGCTTTGCCTCTCCCATATAAAGAAGGATATATTTGTCGATGAAACTTGTCACCCATTACTTGGCGTTTTCCTTATTTCACATTATTTATCGTTTAAAACACAAAATCCCGTGTATTGGAAAATATATCTTCAGCAACAAAAAATCCTTTGTGAACGACTACCCGGTAAAGAAAGTTTTAAACTAGAAATAGTTAACCTGTTCTAGTATTAGTGACGTTATAATCCGTTGAAGTGTTTCAACATATGAGACATTCATTAAATACACCTTGTTCTATCTCAGATATAAATGTTTTCAACAGACAAAATGATGACTGATAGCCTGAAATCTTCTACTTGATACGGACTACAGTTAATCATTGTGTTGTTGCGTACACTGCACTCGATCGGAATACAAAATAGGAAACTGTAAAGCTAAATTGATCCACCTTTCGCCATTGTATTGAAGATTTTTTAACACATTTCTCTTTCGGTCGTTTAGCTTATATCCGGCGGTGTTTGATGCTATTATATTTTTCCCTTTAGCGTCAAATCGTCAAAGAGCACAATAGTTTCACACCCCTGACATCTTCCTTTTGCCAATTTTAATCGGACTTATGATCGATTTCACTGTCTAATTCTGATGGTTGTGCGCAGCGGTACAATTGTAAAGTTGACCAAATTTAAGTGTCGATCAGAACTGTGGTGTTTCCTCACTATTAAGACTACCTCCAAAAGCAAATCCTGGATAGACTTGCCCAGGTTCGTTGAGAATAAACTATTTCCTGATAATATGTCCAAGCTAAGACCGTAAATTCTTCAAAAATGTGTAATCAGAATCATGTGCTTGCGTGTCTCTAACCACGAGATTACGATAGAAAGGTTCCACCGAAATCTTGTCACAAAAAGCTGGACGCATGTTGTGTGCGAATGAGTTGGGATTTATTCAAAATGATTCCCAAATGCCCACTTGGGTATTTCTAAATTAGAAATCCGGGACACGTTACCTCCCTCGAGAACCTTGCACCTTAAAAGTAGAGATATCCACGTAACTGTGCCCCGAGACCTAGGTACTGTCTCACTTGAATTATTTCACCCCACAGTTCCACTCAGCGTCTTGTGAATATACGAATATTTTGGACATGCTGGCTTTTCCTGTACTGATTTTCAATAAAACATCTGGCAGTACCATCGTTAAGCAGTTAATAGAGAACCGTCTAAAGGCCACTGGAAAAAGCGTTATACAGCCTACTGACAGTACGTTTCCAACAAATGAAATACTTGCATAAATATTGAAGGAATAGTTAATTTAAAATGTTTTCTCCGTCCATTTACATTCGTTGAAATAGATTGAGTGTTCTTTTTACCTTTTAGCAGGAGGATAGAAGGCGACCTCGAAGGATTGGGTATTGACACGAGTACTGCAGTAAACTTCTGATTTGCAATATATATGTGATATCAATTCGGGCTTTTTCGCTCAACCGGACAATTTTGAAATCTGTTCTCAGTTGGTAGATCATCGAAGGAAATCTATGCAACACGAAAATGTCTACTGCTTCTTCTTGAACGTCACAAAAGTCAGCTGGCTAAACGACTAAAATATGAAAAAACACTGTAATTGCTCACAGTTACATAGGATTCGGTACACTAACTGCAAAAGAAATTTAATATATAAAATTCTACGAAAATTACTTCTGAATAAGAAAGACTAAAGCTATCACCGGTTCAATGATATAAAACAAAGTGAAAATATCTTCGTAAGGAATGTAGTGGATGAAAATTATCACTTCTAACATCAATGAACCCTGTTATCAACTATGGCTTAGGCCGGTTCTAAGGATCACATTATGAATGCCAAATAATAACTACTTGACTAAGTTCATAAATCGGGGTCTTCGTACACTTCCGCTAGGTTGTTTGCTCCTCTATAACTTTCAAACACCAGTGCTCAAAATCTTCCAAATCAAGAGCCGTTACGAACCACTTTACTTCTAACCTCTGACCTGCTCATTCAGGTATCCCATTAAACTGTAGCACCGATGCGAAGACGACACCACAGAACGTCCCCAATACATACATGGCACTTATATGGCTCTGAACTATGCAGTAGAGCTGGGAGAATCGATAAATCATAAGCATGGCTCTCCTTACTCTATAGAATTCTGTAGGGCTCATCATATGAAATATTTTCAAATCAGAAATAGTAAGCTACATTCTTCCATTCCAAGTGGTGATCCTTTTTAACCACACCACGTGACGAAGGCCTTGACAGTAGTCACTAACAATCATTTAAACACTGCGATTTACCATGATTTGGCATTTTACTTCACCCTCGTTCAGTTTTCAACTTCTACTGACTTGGTTCATTGGTTTGAAGAGCATCTATTCAATTCGTTGCACTCCATTTGAGAGGTCAGGATATTGACCGGACATGACAATTTGGGAGACATATCAAATGGCTTTATGAACGAAAGTTCTCGTCAGTACATTCCTTCATCAATCGCAATAGATATGTGCTCTTCAGAGAATTTAAATTTGAATTTTACCAACTTGTTCAAGACGGGTTAATATGAAGACTTTTGATTGCTCCCACTCAAGACATGCCCATAGACTAGGTACAAACAGGTATTGCGAAGAATTCCTTTTTCCACTTTTCGAATCAGATGGATACACGTATAAGGTAATAGAAATGTTTGATTGGCTGGATACAGTTTATTTTCTGACAAAGGCACGCTAGCGAGCACAGCGTAAAACGGACAATGATAGAACCACGAACGGCGAGGATCCAGCCCATCGGTCAAACGAAATACGATGCAAAAAAGCCCTGGTATACATACTGATTGAAATGAAGAGTAGAGATGTGAGTTAAGAATAGCCGAATAATGTTGAAAAGGTACACTAAAAGCAAGTGCTGATTGTTGGTATGTGACATACTCATAAGAGCGATGAAAAATGAGCGTTTGAGGATGTGGTCGATGGTGCAGCCTAGGGGCGGTTGGGTAGGATCAAGGTATCCCTGTTTTCGTCAGACGTGACCTATCACACTTGATTCAGTTGTATCGTGTTTTATTGTACCCTTTATCACAAAATTAAATAATGATTTTACAATAAGTTTGTAAAAAATATCTCTTTTGGATAGAGTTAACAATACTTGAGTGTTCACCACCGGACTGAATCTGCTATTTGGATAAAGAGAAATCTGTTAATGGTCGATTCAATGGAATATTTTTGTAATTCGGTCATATAAAATACACAACCTTAGTCCGTACATCTTAAATCATGCTTCATCAAACCCTCTTTACCGCCTATTTACCTTTATCGCATGGAGCTCTACTCTTGATCTGAAAAACGTCCATGTGGTTTAAACAGCTTTTCTCCTTTCTGCTTTCAGCAATTCTCACCACCGACGACTTCGATGTGGCTTATAACCGTGTAAAAGAGCTGATATTTGAGAACTCTGGATCTTTGGCGTGGCTCAATTCACCGCAGCTGATACCATGAATCGCATCATCAAAACCGTGTCTTTCCCGCATTGGTCACCATCATGATCATTAATTATTTCTCATCATATTATTATCATCGCGATAATCCTTTCCTGCTGACCGATCAACTTGCCTATATGTTCCAATTTCAGATTGACAATCTAATTTTACAGCATGAATTATTTGTGATACACCCGTTTTGTTTTCTTTGCGTTCGAGCTCTTCCGTTCGGTCCTGAAATTACACGAATACCAATTGAACACTATTGTACTCAGTATCCCGTGTAGCGCTTTATGCATTTTAGCCTATTCCTTGAACAATGATACGCAATGTTCACTGTCTAAATGTCCTTTCTTTCTGCAAAACTTATATGTAGTTCAGAAAACATGAACTAATCATCCACTGTATATTATTTCCTCTGGACCACAATTTGTGCACCTTGTATCATGCGAAAGTCAATGAATCGTTAATATCTTCCGACTACTCATGAGTAGCGTAGATAGTCTGTGCAATTGGACCCGAGTATCTTGTAAATTTATTTTATTTCTCACTGTTGCATCGTTGTTTACATTCGTTTCCTATGTACATAACAAACATTGAGGATACATCAATTACGCTTTCTCTTGACGTCAAATCTCACGGAAAAGGACATTTAGCTATTTACTTTCCCCTTGTTGGAATGTTTACTCACTGTACAATACCTTCCACCAAACCCTATTCCCAGAAAATAATACCTATATTCCTTATGAGGTTCTGTTCACTCAGTGCTATTCTTCCGTTCATTCTTTTGTCAGTCAGATAATTACAGTCATCCGAAGTACAAATTTGGTCTCTTAAACATTTTCTACAAAGAAGATTTTTTACCGAAACGGATGAAGCAACT